TGGCATTTAATGTAATAAATAAAAAATGCCACAAATATAATAAATTAGGACATTTAGCAAAGAATTGCAGATTAAGATCAAAAACCTTTGACAAAGAGATACGATGTTTTAAGTGCAACAAAACAGGACACATGGCAAAGACATGCAGTGTAAAACAGACTAAAAGCGGAAAAACATGTAACATTTGTAAAAAAAATAATCATGAAGACAAAGATTGTTTTTTCAGAAAAAAGAAAAGCAATAAAGAGGACAAGACAGACAAAGTGGCATTTTTAGCAAACGCATCGAAAATGGAAGATGTATGGATTGTGGACTAAGGGACTATTTCAAACATGACCAACAGACAAAACCATGTGAAGAATTTTACAGAGAAACAATCGGAGCGAAGTAGCCAAAAAACATGAATCGATGACATCAAATGGATCAGAATCGATCGAGTTTGAAAACTGTAAACTAAAAGAAGTGTTGTATGTACCAGAATTAAGTACGAATCTTCTATCGGTTCATGCGATTACAGAAAGTGGAGGAGAAATCTTATTCATGAAGGATGAAGTATTAATAAAATATAATAATAAAATAATAATAAAAGGGCAAAAAATGCAAAATGGTTTGTTTCAGGTAAAATTTAAATCAATCAAACAAAGCGAATCGTACCTAACTGATGAATCAAGTAATACTGCAACAAGCTGGCACAGGAAACTCGGTCATATTAGCAACGAAAATATGAAAATTCTTCTTCAGATCAGCAATGGAATAAATCTAACTTCCAAAAATCTGACCGAATTAGAAAAGGTGTGTGAAATTTGCCAAAAAGCGAAGCAAACAAGGACCAAGTTTGAAAAATCAAGAATAAAAGCCAAGAGACCTCTGCAAATTATACACAATGATATATATGGCCCAATAAATCCTCCTACATGGGATGGAAATAGATACTTCATCACCTTCTTGGATGATTTCACTCATTTTACGATGGCTTTTCTAGTAAAAAGTATAGAAGAGATATCAAATAAAATTAAAGAATACATAGAAAGAGTAAGATGGAATATACAAGTATCAAAATTGAGATGCGACAATGGAAGAGAATACATAAATGAGAGGGTAATAACCTGGTACGAAAACAAAGATATAGAACTCGATAGAACTGTACCATATACACCCCAATTCAATGGAAAAGCGGAGAGAATAAATCGAACTTTAATGAGCAAGATTAGAGCTCTATTATTTGAGTCAAAACTAAAAAAGAAAATATAGGGAGAAGCTCTATATACAGCAGTATATTTGACGAATAGATCTCCTACAAATACATTAAAAACCACATCTTATGAGATGTGGGAAGATAAAAAGCCAAATTTAAAATATCTACAAATCTTTGGATGTGACGCAAAAATCTTAAAACCATTAAAAAAATTGAACGAAAGAAATAAAAGCTATATTTTTATAGAGTATGCACCTACAGGGTATAGACTCTGGAATAAAGAAAAACGAAAAATTAAAATAGCAAGAGATGTAAAATTTAAAGAAATTATATTTCAAGAAATTCAAGAACCTGTCAAAAGAGGTACAATAAATCTATTCCAAGAGGATGAAGTCGAAGAAGAAGAGGATCAAGCTCCCGCAAGAGAAGATGAAGATGAATTTGAAGATGCCGAAGAAGAAAATATAGTCAATGAAAATTTAGAACAAAAATTAAGAAGATCGAAAAGAATACGTAATAAACCAGATAGATACACTTATTATACATATTTAACGTACAAAGAAGCTGTCACCAGTTCTGACAAAGAAAATTGGATTCAAGCAATAAATGAAGAAAAGAAATCACTGAAAAAAAATAATACTTGGGAAATAATTGACATTACGAAATTGAAAGGAGAAAAACCATTACATAATAAGTGGATTTTCAGGATAAAATATGATAGAAGATAAAAGGCAAGACTTGTAGTAAAGGGATATGAACAACGCGGAATAGATCAACAAGATATTTTTAGTCCGGTGATAGGAACAACAACAATAAGAAGCTTGTTTGCTATAGCAACATTGAATAAATATCAAATAATGACATTTGATGTAAAAACTGCTTTCTTATACGGTGAATTACAGGATGAAGTATATTTGTATCCTTTAGAAGGATATAATTGCAAGAATAAAGTATTCAAACTAAAATTATACCATCATTATACGATCTTAAGCAAGCGCCAATAAGATGGAATCTAAGATTTACACACTTCCTAAAAGAAAAAGGGGTAAAACTTAAGATTAAGGGCGACCTCACCGATTTCAATGACCTTGATATATGTTGTCAAGGACATAATTCTGAGTAACTTTTTCTTCTAATTTAATCGTCGCTCGTTGCTTATTAAAAAGCTATTAACAAAAAAAGTTTGAAATATACCAAAGTACATGCATAGAGTTTAGTATAAAAAAATAATTGTTTTTAAGAAAATTATTTACAATGTATTTTTTTAAACAATTATTTGTTTTTTTTTGAACTAAATTGATTTGTCTCATTATTCTGTACATAAAAGTATTATGGTAAGATTATCGAAAATTAAATATTTTATAATACGCCACTTAGAGCTCTACAACTTTTGCATGAAATATTTTTCACGAAAATGCGTTGTTTCCTCAAAAAACTCCTGATACGGGCGCTCTGTTACACCCTGTATATAGGGGAAAGTAGGGTACAACCGGATACTTTTTTGGATTTATCTTCCTACAAAAAATCGAAGTAAAAAAAATTCTGCTGACTGTTAGTGATCTTTAGTGAACCTTAAACTATGAGAAAATGAGACTAGTTGCTGAAAAAAAAATATTTGGTTACCAAGGATAACAAGATTTTTTAAAGAAGTCAAAATACCCGGTTTTGTCCTATCGGTAGGGTAAAACCGGGTACCCATTTGAAAACATGTAAAACCGTGCAATTACAAAGTCTAGACTTATTTTAATCAAAATACAACAAAAAAATGTATTCTGTTCGAGATTCGAACAGTTTTCGTCAATAACGTTGCGTTCAGCCGGTCGGTGCGTGTTCGTGCGCTGTCCTTCAAGTTGAAAAACTTTGACAAACAACCCGGTTCTCGAACGATCTGTGTCGAAAAATTTTTATTGTTGTCATCGTTGAAGCGTGAGTTTCCGCAGTCGACCAAGTTAGTCTGCCTACGATTCGTTGACGATTCGAGCCGGTCGAAATTCGTTGACCTCTTTTATTCTCATGTCGTTATTCTCGTTCGTGTCGTGTTCGCCATAATCGTACTCGTCTCAAGTTTAACGAAGTGTCTCGCTTACGATCGCCTTTCAAATTTTCGCGGCGATCAGTTCTTCCGTTTCTTAAATTTTGTTAGTTAATTCTTTATTGTTAAGATATTGTTAATGTATGAAAGTGGGGAGTTCGAGAGTCGATGATAGTTAACCGTATCGCAAATATCTTCTGCCTCGCGCGCAAGATCTCCGGCGTCCGCGTTCAAGATTTCCTACTTCGCGAGAGGTTCTAGCAAGAAGTTTTTCAAGATTTCCGAAACACGGAAAAGACAGTAATTAGAAGAACATATTCGAAGATTTCCGAAAGAAGTCGCGGAATATGTTTCGTCGCTCGCTCCTAGTATATGACAATAAACGTTTCATTAAAATTACGATCATGATGAATTTATTCTTTAAACCCGTTCCTCCAGTTTCTCAGTTTTTGGACGATTTCGTCGAGGTCGACTCCCGAACATATTCTATTGACAAAAATCACAAATAAAGATATCCTCTTATTCTACATTGATGTAGGACTTTCTTATTTAATTTTTTAATATTTGGGGTCTCAAAAAGTTTCTTTTTTAGTGGTTTCTTTTTCTGAGTGATAATTTTCGTTTCCAACTGCTTTTTGTAAGGAGATAAAGTCAGAATAACAGTTTTTCCTCTTTTTATTACATGAAGTATGTAGGTACCCGGTTTTGCCCTAACACGAAGAAAATAATAAACATGGCGGCTGTATATTCCGGCGTACAAAGTGACGATCAAAACTAATGCAATATATTCTTTAATATGTACAGAATGCAATGCTGCATTTACCGAAACATGCTCTGTCTAGAAAAAGTCCATAACGACTCGATTATTGCCCCGATATCGATCTCTTCTAGCCCGAAAATTTTAAACTTCTCTTAAAAAAGAAACATCGTATACATGTGGGCACAATTTATTTCAAAATAATGATGGCATCAATCTACAACTAATAACACGAGTTAGCCAAAGATAGTAACATTTATCACGAAGAAACAGAGGTACCCGGTTTGACCCGCCTACCCGGTTTTACCCTACTTCTCCTATATATTAATTAATTAGGCTGGGAGAAGTATGGTGACCTTAGCTAGACCACGTCTCGTGCTCCGCTTTTCAGTCTGTCTCAGCTGTTTACTCCGTTTCCAAGAACTTAGCCGTGATTTCTTCTTTCTTAGTCTCTTGCTTTATTCTACTAATATTTTTATTAACTTATTCTTTCCTAATTGCTTTTCCTTGAGCTATATTTAATGTTTTGCTTTTCTCAATCTTTTCTGCTTTACTTTAATGCTTTCTATTTAAATATTGAGAAATTGGTCGGGTTACGACACTGTCAATTATATTAGGTCTACCGGAAAGTTCTGTCCGTTTCTATTACAACAAGTCTCGACAGTCTCGACACGTAAGCACATGTTTGAATACAAATTGCCCTCACGCTGGCAAGAAATCATTAATAATAATGGCAATTACATTATTTAATAAAGTTTATTGACGGTAATAAAAATTTGTATTTTGTTTTATTCCAAAAACGGACAGAACTTTCCGGTAGACCTGATATGTATAGCTGGGGTAAAACTTTTTTAAGTTAAAATAATTCCTGGAATATATTGTAATAAAATTTCTGCATTGATTAAGATACAGAATATTTTGTACATGATCAATGTTGTCTACAAATAATATTGTAAAATAATCATTTTTGTATAATTATATTCTTAAGATTACATTTTGTGATTTGATGGTGTAATTTATTTAACATCGATTTGTTCAACATCATTTTTGACATAAATTTTCTTTTCATTGCTTTCCTGAAATAAAGATATTCTTTAATAACATAAAAGCATTGTAATAAATTTTTTACTTGAAATTACTTACTTTATTCGCCAATTGTGGTGTCGAAATATTTTCTATATGTGTAAGAAAACTTTGGTTTGTTTCATTTTTGTTAATAGTGTGTAAATATTTTGCTCTCGCATTTAGAACCTCTTCAAGTTGCCTTTTATGTCTTATTGCTAATTCCAAAGCCCTAATTAAAAACGTAAACGATTATTATTAATTAATTTCTTATTAAATATAAAAATAAGTTAAAAATATACACATTATTACTATACATGTAATAAGCATAATACAAAACTTATTATAAAACACGTTAAATATTTTATTCTTATTTAAATTGTTGCTATATATGTACATATGCACACACATATATACAGGATATCCCACCAAAAGTAGCCACTTCCTTTTATCTTTTAAACTAAAAGAAATAGACCGTAACAAATACAAATTAAACATGTCGACGGGACATCTTCGCAGCTGAAACATTCAAGCTTTGGATCGCTCTTTTAACGTGTCATCCGATATCCTTATGCTCGGTCTCCCCGGCCACGCCGATACGCTTATAATTAACTGCCGGCATCCAACGCAACCGGCAAAATTTTAAACCATGAATCTATTCTATCATTCAGTCTTCTTTTTAATATACGTTTGTTACTGTTACTCAATTTTATCGCGCTTATTATTTCAGCTACCCTATTGTCGTTCTCGATTCTCGACCTTTCTCCCGTCCGTACAAACCACGCCTTTTACCATTTCGTGTGTACTGAGTAGTCGAGTATTCTGTTGTCGCGATTAATTTTCGATTCCGTAATTCTTCGTGAAATAAGGCATTTTTATATGGTGCGGTCTATCACACCTGGCGCCTGAATTGTTTGGTAATTACGATTTTTGGTGATACTTGGTAATTGATAACTGAGAAGTCGCGCCGAAGATGTGCCGCGGACCATAAAGAACGGCCCTTCGATCGTTTTTCCGGAGTCTTACAAAATAACAGCGGTCACAGTACGTATGTATAATACATAAAACACAAAAAGATAAAAGTTTCTAAATATTTTTCTTAATATATTTTTATTAATTAAAACAATTGGTAAACATTATATTAGGAGATCTCCAATGACCTGTACATATGTTGTCAAGGTCATGACTCTGAGTAATATCTAACAAGGGGAAGGCGCGACATGGTATCAATCGATTTCAACTAAACTCGTTGTAGCGATAGGTTTTCATGTAATGTAGTATTGGGTAAAGAGATAAGATGCGCTTCTCAAGCGTTCGCGAGAAAATCGAAATTAAAAAATTCCGAGAGCCTTATGAGTAAATGGAATAGAGCGTTTAATCGAAGAGCTCGTGGCGCAGCGGCAACGTACTAGACTCGTAGTCTCGTTCGAGCTATCGAACGAGCAGCACGTAGTAAGGAGCGATCCTCTAGTAAAATTATCAGATTGTTTAAATAACATCAACTAATTATCTATAAGAATACTAAACGGTGAATAAAAGTTAAATAACATCGAGGAAGTAAAGAAAAACATCGCATATGGACCTAAAGGGAGTAAGATTCAAGAAGTTGACGTTAACCTCAAATCGTCCTCCAGCGTGGCAGTGACTGAGAATTCAGTACAAGAGAATGAAGGCAAGTTACTTCATATGCAAGCTAATTTTAACGATTTGTTTGATACTAAAAAAATCAAAAGTTACAAAAGGAAAGCAATAGACAGTCAAGAAGCAGGAACATCCAAAGCAAAAATGACAAGACAAAATAAAGCATATTCAATAGACACGAAAAATAGTTTTGATCTATTAAGCGACTCAGAAGACACAGACATGGACTGGGACGATAACAATAATGAACAGGATAATCATGCAATAAATAATAGCTCAGGTAAATCAAGAGCCTCGAAAAACCCGATCGGAAAACGAAAACCTCCGCCAATAATAATATACGGAGAAGTGAAATCATACGGGGATCTAATTGCTAAGGTCAAAGATATAATCAGCAACAAATTCTTTATAAAATATCAAACAAATCGTACAGTTGTACACACAGAAATACAAGAAGATTACAAGAAACTAATTGCGATCTTGGAATCAGATGGAGCTCAGTACCATACGTTCACACCAAAGGACAGGAAAACCAAGGCGTTCGTAATAAGAGGACTTCCTAAAAACATAGCTATTCAGGATATCAAGAACGAACTGAAAGAATTTGACATCCAAGTAAATAATTGTAATGAAATGAGAGGTACGCATAATCCATTATATATGGTTACAATCCTCGGTAGCATTAATATAAGAATATTAGCACACAAGGTAAAGTACTTAAATCATACTAAAATAACATGGGAGAGGTATCTCAATAAAAAGCGCATCACGCAATGTCATAGATGCCAGGAGTGGGGACATGCAACATCAAACTGTCATGTAACACCCAAATGCCTAAAGTGTGCAGAAAATTATTTAACAAGGGAATGCAAAAAACCAACAACCATTCCAGCGAGATGTGCAAGGACCATCCAGCAAATGCTATTATCTGCGAAAAATACATTGAAAAATTAAACTGGATTTCAAAGGTGACAAGGACAAATAAACATCAACTAAAAGAAAACATTACTGTTGACATCACGGATGAAACCAAGTTCCCCAGACTCAGAAGTGACATGCCACTCAAAAAGATGGAAGCAGACAATCCATGGGTTCAAGCACATAGGACAAGATTAAAACAAACAACAACAACACATGTAACAGACGGCACGAGTGATCAAACACATACAGACTTTATATCATTAACAAGCGAATTTGAAAAATTAAATAGCCTTATAAATGTAAAAGAAATGCTTAACGACATTAGAAATTTAAATAACAAACTTTCACAGTGTAGATCGCACGTAGAAAAGTTCGAAGTATTTTAATGTTACCGTAGAGTTAGAACAAAAACATGGATAAAATCACAATTTGTAGTTGGAATGCAAATGGCATCCGTGATAGGATCGCAGGCTTAATAGAATTCTTGTGTAGACTGAATATAGGAATCATGTTAATTAACGAAACTAAATTAAATGAAAACGATAGATTAAAAATCAAGGGCTATAATTGTATTAGGAAAGAGAGACAGAATAGAGCAGGAGGAGTAGCTGTTTTAGTAAGAAAAGATATACCGTATCAGGAAATTAAACCGAAATCGGAGGTCGCGATAGAAAATATATGTATTACACTGGAGAATAACATTCACATTATAGCCGCGTACAATAGACCATTAAATAAAATTTCAAATAGGGACCTAAATGTATTGTTTAGCGTGGCTAACAAGGTATTGTTGGTTGGTGATCTGAATGCCAGGAACAAAAAATGGAGGTGTCATAGAAATAATAGAAACGGTATCACACTAAATAATTACATATAGCAAAACAATGTAACAATTATGTATCCAAATGAACCTACGCATATACCAAATAATGGTGGTACCCCCACCACAATAGATATAGTTATAAACAAGCAAGTTAACAATTATACTGATATAAATGCACTCCATGAACTGGATTCGGATCACAACCCAATATGCTTCACTCTCTTAAAACAAAATTTGACAGACATGAGGTATAAAATATATGATTTTAAAAATACTGATTAGTCCAAATTCAGATCTATTCTAGATAAACACATAAACATTAACAATGAAATAAATGAACATACGGAGCTAGATACTGAAGTAACTAAACTGACGGAAATTATACAAAAAGCGCAGCAATTAACAACAAAAATAATTACAAGAACAAACCCCACACAACTGAACAACGGATGCTATTTTAACTCAAATAAAAAGTAAAAATAAAATCAGGAAAAGATGGCAAAGAACAAGCATAAATAATTACAGAATCTTACTTAATAAATTATCACGTAAAATCAGAGATGATATAATAAAACATAGAAATGAAATTTGGAATTACAAATTACAAAAATTAAGCGCGAAAAATAATTCCATCTAGAAAATGACAAAAACATTAAAGAAAGCTTATGAACCCATATCTACCTTAACTAATAACAATATAACGGCAATAACAGACGTACAAAAAGCTAACATGCTAGCAGAACACTACGAACAGATACATACACACGGGACAGACAATGACAGTAATCAAGACATAATAGTAGAAAAAATAAATACTTACCTAAATGAGAACACAGATAATCATGATGACAATCAATGGTTTAAATGTTTAACATCTCCTAGAGAGATATGGGAACAAATCAAATATTTAAATGTACATAAAGCTCCTGGTCCGGACAAAATACAAAATGTAATTTTAAAAAACCTGTCGAGAAAGGCAATTGTTCAGTTAACATATATTATAAACGCAATCTTTAAATTGGCCTATTTTCCACAAAAATGGTAAAGGCATATATCATACCTATACATAAGCCAGGTAAAAATAAAATGTCACCGATCAGTTATAGACCGATAAGCCTTTTAGCCACATTAAGCAAAGTAGCAGAAAAAATAATACTTAATAGGTTACAAAAGCATGCCGAAATCAATAAACTTACAAAAGAACATCAATTTGGCTTTAGGAAAAAACGAAACACAGTTCAGCAAATCGTGAGAATGGTAAATGATATACGAGCAAATTATAACAAAGATAATGTAACGGTACTGTTACTCTTAGATATCGAAAAAAGCTTTTGATAAAGTTTGGATGGACGGCTTGTTATATAAAATGTTGGAACAAAAATACCCATTTCATATGATCAAGCTAATACATTCATATATAAACAACAGAAAATTTCGAGTAACAATAAAAATAACAAATCCAGAACGAAAAAAATTAGGGCAGTTGTACCGCAAGGCTCAGTCCTTGACCCGTTACTATTTAACATATTCTTAAACGATTTGTCAGAGTTTCCTAAGATCAAGTTAGCAATGTTCGCCGACGATACGGCAATATATGCGCACTCTTTTAGTGCAATAGTAGCAGCAAAACAAATACAAATACATATAAACATACTCGAACATTATTACAAATTATGGAAAATATCTCTCAATGCTGATAAAACAGAAGCAATAATATTTACAAGAAAATACAAATGCACAAGAATTTTCACACCGATCACATTGTACAAACAACCAATACAAATAAAAAACTCAGTGAAATATCTTGGCATGCATTTAGACAGTAGATTAACGTATAAAACACACAT